TATTAGTAGTTGTAGTATTCCTGGAAACTATAATGCTCTAGGCGGAAGTCTCACCCCCGATCAGAAAACTTCAATCTTCTGCCAGCTACACCCTGTAAGCTTGGTGACCAATTCTCGTATCAGAACAAATTTAGCTACATATGCAAATATCACTGGCTGGCCCCTTGATTAGGACCCCAGCCCAAGCAGGGGGAGTTTAAGATGGGTGGAGTAAAGTTGAGAATTTCCCCCAGGAGTTGGGGAATTTAACAAGACAAAATCACTTGGGTCAAGTACTTCTCAATGAAAATCCCTGTGATATCTACCTCATGTAACTAGGATTAAGGGGAATTATTTTTTTTATAGTTGCTCCCATTTCAGTCTGCATAGTGGGAGGAGGTGGTGCAGGCGGTGGGGTGGGGGGGGGGTGATTTATTTATGCAAGACTGGAATTAAATTGGCTTTAAGGCTGTGAGAAGAATTGGTGAGAAATACCTTAGAGCATGCGGATATGCTACACCTCAAACGTCAGAACCTCCATACAAGACTCAATCATTCACTGTCGCAGAGAAAGGGTTAATCGTGTCCATGTTGTAGGTCAAATCCATTCTCAGTTTAAACCAGTATTCAAGCTAGTATGCCATGGTAGATCTCTCAGGAGAAGCTAATCCCAGTAGGTTTGATACTGGTTTATCCAGAGTACAGATTATACCTACAGTACATTATTAGTTGCAGCCATGTAATTCAGTTGAATTACCGGCAGTGATTATACTTACTTTGAAGTAAGCTTTTATTTAGTGACTATTTGTTTCCAGGGAAAAAGAACTTGCAAGAATTGTTATCAAAAAAGAAGATGTTGATTTAATTGTAAGTACAAGTTGCAAATCTTCTGTATACCACAATTACTGTACAGTACAATAAACATTACCACAGGTTGTTGTATTGCTCAATGTTTGTCATGTATTATCAGTCTTTGTTTACATGTATGACTTTTCTTATTACTTCTAATGTCCACACTGAAAGTTATGAATAATGTCAAGACATTTTGGTAACTTATTAAGTAGTACATGGTTCGTACAATCTTGAAAAAGTCTTGAATTTTAATAGTCGTCTTATAAAATCCCTGAATTTGGTCAAGGTCCTTGGAAAGTACTTGATTTTTTCATAAGGGCTTAAAAAGTCCTTGAAATTCACTACTTTAGTTTGAACCACTACTTTAGTTTACACCACATCATTTTGTGTGAAAGAAGATTATTTTTACAGAGAAAAATTTAGCTCATCCTCAGTCTAAGATCTGTAAAACTCACAGGTCAAAAAAAAAACATTGCTCTGCATGAACGATATTATCTTACTTTTCAGATGCAACTACAAGTCATACCCAGTGACTGTTGCCATTTTGCAAAGTGGTGTTTCGGAAATTACCGGTAGTATAAAATAATGTGATCAACCATGGCTGAAGAAGTAAAAAGTGTAATCAACCCCACTGAGTGTTTTAGCCAATCAAAAGGGGTCAAAGAATGCAGATTTATTGAGTTTATCTTAGTTAGTTCTTGAAAACTGTGTGATTTGTCCTTGAAATGTCCAGTTGAAAAGTCCTTGAACTTTGTTAGTCTGAGGTTGTACGAACCATGGTAGTACATATTTGGTTCGTCATGAACTGTTTAAAAAATAGGGACCTTAAGATCCGAGGACGGCGACGGCAGTGAAAACGTCACTGAAAAAGCGAATGCGCGTTCTTTCAATCTTCATCGCGATTGCTCTAAGTCACTAACTTTGTCAAATGTAGGCGAACCCTCTTAAAGTTGAATTCCTAAGAACCATATCCAAGTTCAGAAAGAGAGAGGAAATCTCGTCGTCGCTTGTGTACTTCCTCTGTACATCGTGAAATTAAGCATTTTCACGTTGTAGTCGAGCAGTGACGGCAAAGAAATGTACAAAAAAGAGTGATGCACGTGCGAAATTGTTGTTTTGCTAATTAAACCTATTGCTTTTGTGGCGTCCCCGTAGCCGTCGCCGTCATCGGATCTTAAGGTCCCTCATAATAGGTCAACTCCTGCTATTGTAGACTACTTCGTGAATTGTGAGTTAGGGTTGTTAATAGCACAAGTCTGTGATAGCAGAGTTTATTTTAATAAAACACCTGTAACTTAATTTTCATTGGAAATTTAGCAGCTGTCCATATTATAAGGGTGTCTATAATAAAGAGGGAGTGATTTTGTGACCTCTGCGTCCTGCTTCCCTAAAGCATAAAAATCCCCAAAGACACAAAATAGTTCATGGCATGCATCCCTTAGGACGCAAAGATTGATTGAGCGATCTGAACTTATGTATTTCTACAAACATCCCATCCGTGTAATTTCTGTGGCAGTTATTATGGCTGTTGTTTAACGATGCATATTTCTTTTAGCCTTTGTTGTGCTTCAAAATAGAAGGTCTATATTTTAATGTCAGTATACTATAATATAGAGTTTTGTAGTCTGTCTTCATATTAACTGTCTGGCCCAAGCATTTTCAATGTGGGCCTTTTTTTTTTATTATTATTTTTTTTTATTTTAACTGGGACTCATTGGGTCACAGGGTCCAGAGGAGTTTTGTGTGAATAAATGAATTACTTATTTAAAGTCTCACCTTGAAAAATGTCTATACCTGTCGCTTAGCACGATTAATTAGCCTACTGCGATCTTTATAAATCTACTGTAAACGATTTCTTCGCTTCTTATCTGACCCAGATCGACTTTTGAAAATCAATGACCGCAAGCCATATTTTCGCTGGCGCACGGCACGTCACCCAAAGGGTGACCGAAGGCCGTCGCCCAAAGGGCGCCCGAGGCACGAGCTGATCTTGCGAGCCCTCAGTCTCTTGGTTTGCAGCCTATAGAATGTGTAACGAAACTGTAACGCGATCAAAATAACCCATTTTTTCAGAGGTTTTTGATGGGTTTTGATGTTCTTATGACAAACACATCTCCTCTGGACCCTGTGATTGGGTCTGGACTGGGACTGATGATTATAGGACTTACCATAACTATTTGTAACAAAATCTTTGAGGAGGTGTCCATAAGGTGAAAAGTTACTTTGCTGCATTTTGTGGGTAAATCTATGTACATGTACAAACTATATTTTTTACTGTTATTACCCAGTTTGAACTTGTGGCCCTATACTCAACACTTGCACCTTCTCGTGAGATGATCGCCATAGAACTCTCAATAGAACTGAAAAATCTGGTTTTGTGAATTGCTGGGGTTGATACAGTGAATGTAACATCATGTTTCAAAGGTTTCACACTTTGCTTTCTGCTGGCCTCACAATACTGCAGGCTTGCTTTTACTTGGAGTGTATGGAAGGAACGGGGTGGGGTGTCACATGTTCTACATTTCCCAGTCTTTCTCGCTCGCTTAACTAATAATTCTTATGTCACCAATGTAATATTGACCAGTGCAGTCAGTGTTGATGTCAAGTACTTTTTTTATTCATGGAAGGTTGTTTGAAATTCCAGGTTGAAGAAATGGAAATCCCAAGAGCCGCAGCAGAGAGAAGTTTACGAGAACACAAAGGAGATGTAGTAGAGGCACTAGTGTCCCTAACAAACTAAAAAAACAGTGGAATAGATATAGCATAATAATAAACAGCTTAAACTGAACGCTGAATTCAGCTGTGAATTGCTGATTGCTTTTGCATCATGGGCATTTTGGCAAACTTTGCTGTAGAAACTGAAGCACCATCACTTTACTTTAAATTTAGGTAAAACATCACGAAAATTATGCATCAATGATGTAACTGGCAAACACTTTTACCCTATTTACAACACCCTGGCCACTGTCTTGCAGAGTGTTTGCGGCGATAGATGAATGTAGAAGGCTTAAACCCCCGACACACACAAAAAACTGTTTAACAACTATTAAAATTCAAACAATACGCAGACAAAGTTTTTAAGATACAACTCGTAACGACGAGACATTGTTTCGAAAGTTGGGACATTGTTTCGAAAGGTTGCAACATTGTTCCAACATTGCAATGCAGTTTTAGTGATGCGCTAAGAATCGCAGTGGCGGATTATCCCATTTAAGATCACCTTTAAATTTGCCTGTAACACTGATCTCATTCAAAAAAAATGTTTGCGTAATCAATAAATGGCAATTTTGTGCCGCAAAAACTAGCCAAAGTACAAATTAGGCTAGAAGTGCTCATTTAGTGAAAAAGGATGAAAATTATGCTCTTAGTGACGAATTATGCCAAAAATTATGCTAGCAAAATATATCAAAGCCTACGTCCGATTAGGAAGTCTCGAGTCCTAGCGGTAGTGGGCGTCAAAGAAAATGTATCCGCGAGTAGAGCTTTTTTTCGCTCATAAAACCAATTGCTTTTTCACATTCTCTTTGTTCCTGGTCGTAGTAGTTGTTCAAGAACGTCAAAAAAGCAATAGGTTTAATATCAAGTGTCAGTGAACGAGTGGGTAGAAAACGAAGACCTAATAAGACACAAAAACGAAGATCCCCCCTCAAAATCACGTATAACTGAATCGCTAGAAACGGGTATCTCGGCCTTAGATGTGAAACAAAAAACAAGATCTTCCAATTATCAGTGAAATTGACAAGGATCTTCGTTTTCTTCATACCCCCCCTCCCTAATGCAGAAAACGAAGACCCCCCTCAAAACGACTTGGAAACTACTCAAAACTGCTCATAACGACTGCCAGACACCAGAGCCTAGAGTGTAAGAAACAAGACGATTTTTTGTTATGGAGGGGAGAGAAAGGTCTTACACCTTCTCCACATTGAACCTGCTTACTACGGACACTTTCTATGGTCCCCTCGTGTCCGTATTGACGGGGTTAGACTGGACCATGAGTAATAAGTGCTATAATGACGAATTCTACAAAGTAAAACTAAAATGAAACAAACACATTCCATAGAAAAGTTGAATATGTATTTTGATTAGAATAATATTACACACATTGTAAGATATGGATTTCGGATTTCTTTTGACATAAAATAACCATCATTCTATCAACGTCAACATCTGAAAAATACGAGTCTTAAGTCTCTGCTCGCAGTCACGTCTTTATTACTGACGATAGAAACCTCGGCAACCACAACAATAGCGGTAACAAGAACGTTAACAAAACATGAACAAACAATGTTCATAACAATCACTCCTATCACTCCTTCACTTAGTTTATCTACAGTGGAACCGGCTCGAAACCACTATAACGAACGCTTTTCTTCAGCCCGGCCAAAATTACTTAATCGTGTTGTTTCTTACACACTCCTCTAGTGTCTAGAAGTCGTTATAAGCAGTTTCGAGCCCTTTCCAAGTGATTTTGAGGAGGGTCTTCGTTTTCTACATTTGAAGGGGGTGGGGGGTATGTAGAAAACGAAGACCCTGGTCAATTTCATTGATAATTGAAGATCTTGTTATTTCTTACACATCAAAGGTCGAGATACCCGTTTCTAGCTATTTTTAAGTGATTTTGAGGGGGATCTTCGTTTCTGAACAGGTATATTCCGGGATTGTCACGAAGGTACCGATGCCGCCGTTGCCGTTCATTAGCCGATCATCCCAAACAACTTAATGCCGTAAATTAACACAAAACGACAAATTTTTCTTCTGAGTGCGATTCCTAAGAACTGATTCAACTTCAGAAAAATTCAATTATATTATTTCAAATTTGGCACTTCGTAAGAGGAATGATCGCGACGAAGACTGAAAAAATGCAAATTCATTTCGATGAAAATAATTAGTGACCGCCGTTTTTGCTGCCTTCGACGTCGTGAATGCGGTCCAAAAAAAAGCAATAAGACCTCAGGCTTCTCGCTTAAGGCTTAAGTATTGAGCGATAATAGTTAAACAAAGTTTGTATTTTTTTTTTCTTTACTAAAGCTGCTTACTATACTTTTCTGATTCTTTTCTCTTGTTCTCGAGTCATTTTCAATTCTACAGGGCATCGTTCTAGACTCAATGGCAGGGCATGCCTAGTGGGTAACTGCCCACAACTTGAGCCAAACCGGGGCACCAAGATTCAGCCGTGGAATAATTGTCTATTGATCTTTATCCTTTGGGCAATCTTGGACAATTGAAACGAATTGATCGGCTAGAAATCGGTGATCTTTCACTCATTTACTTATTTTTTTCTTACGCCAACGACGGCGTGCATAAACCAGCTGGTTATCAACAAGCATGGCCAAGGATTTGAATTTGGAGAGGGGCGCGTTGGGATTTTCGGTTTTGGCCATCTTTTAGGTCGGTTTTTCGGTTTTTGCAATAAAAACTTCGGTTTTTCGACCTTTTTCGGTCAAGTTGCTGTCCGTCAGCGGTTTCTGGTTTTTCCGTTTTGTAGCATCTGGTTTTCGTTTTTTTTTTGGCAATAAAAAATAAAGCGGTTTTTCAGATCTTTGGTGACCGATGTGCTGTTTTGGTTTTTCCAATTTAGAACTGAGGAAGTCAAAGACAGACTTGCACAAGCTCCCAATGTGGTTTTTGTGGTTGTGTCGCATTATCAGCTGCCTTACATCAGTTTTTGCTCTTACAAGCATGTCTTCAGTTTAGAGATTTATCTCTTTTGTAGGATATTATCGGAGGTCTTTTAAAAATTGTTTTCATCAGAGGCTGATTGTCTTTTAGACTCCAGTTTATGCCATCAATGTCTTTTTAAGAGTGTGTCCATGAGAAAACCAGGCAGAACCAGGCAGGGGGTGATAATGCTCAAATCACCGATTTCGCTCAAACTTGGCACAAATGTTAGGTATCAGGAGTTAGCTTATGTGACAGAATGTCAGGTCAAAATATTAAATTCCCTGGGAGATCCGGGCTCCCCCTGTAAAAATCGCCATTTTGCCCGTTTATGCATAATTAATTAGCTAACTTTACGATGCCAGTGCAACAAACAGAAAAGCCACCTGGAACTTAAATGCACTGAGAGATAATCAGACATCATAAGACTTTAAGCACAATAAACTGTTTAAAGTCACCGATTCGATTTCCCCCCTCTCAGCCCCCTTAAGTTGGGTCATCATTTCCAAGTTTTGAGTAAGACGTAAAATTAGGGTATTGTATTCCGAAATATCTCTGATGAGCAACCGCTTATCTTTATAACTTTTGCATGAGTAGTTAAAGCCATCACTTAAGTTGAGAAAAAGATCATAAAAAGTTTGGGCAATTCACTTTCTTCCATGTGTTGACAAAAACTGTTTATGTGACTGAACGACTTTTGCATATTTCATCAAAATTCAGGCCCTCACAATATTCGTGTGTTTGCCTTTGAATGAGGAGAAATCGAACAAAAAAACTCATCAGACAATGATTTAACGTTAATAAGGGTAAAATCATAAAAATTGTTGTGCAAGAAACGCTAACGATGATTTTTGATAGCTATATACGCGATCTTTTCAAGTAAAAACAACATACAAAGATTTAATTCACAGTTCTACTTACTTTAACAATTTCGCCCTAAAAACAATAATAAACGATCAATAAAATCCATATACGTATCTCTTAGATGTCTCAACTGCTAGTTTGTGCCCGCCTTGATTTGTTCTTCATGCCACCTTCGATGTCCAGTTCAGGGTAGTTCAGCGTCGTGACTCGCTGTACGACTAAAATTCCTTAGCCATCAGTTTACGCACCAAAATCCAAATCAAGTTGTTTTAGGACAAAACAATACGAAAGGTAGAAAGCCGATTCTTAACCCATTGAAAGAATTATTTCTGCCACTGTTGTAGCTCAATTCACATGTTGCAAACGTCCGACATCTTTGACATTAAATGGAGCCCGCATTTTTAAGCAGCGGTTGCCACCATACGGAAAGATCGTATCGGGAGTCAGGAACCAGGAGCCAGGAGCCAGGAGCCAGGAGCCAGGAGCCAGAGTTCAGTGAACAAAATGACTTTCCGACATTCTCTGAGATTATTTTATTGTTATTGTATGTTGATAAATAATTTAGAATTCCAAATCTATTGGCAACTTTATTCAGACCATGATTATAAATGATCCCATGTCTTCTCAAACTCGGAGATAGAAGTCGTTTTGTCTTCGTGTTTTGGAAAAAACTATTTTTTCTATTTTAGTTGCACGTGAAATAGAAGCGAAGTAAAGCCGGATGTTGGTGCAGACCAGTTCAAAGAGACAAATAAAGCGTGAGACACGTCAAGATTGGCTTGCGACAAGAATTCCATTTTTTTTTTCGTACTGGAGTCCCTTCTCCCCTGGGGAGTGTCCAAATTGCGTACAAATGCCCTACCCTGCTGGCACCAGATTTGACTGTCATAAACAGTGAATTTTTTTATCTCGCACGGTCTTTTGGGGGTCTTATAAAGCCTAACTGTGGCACTAATGTTCCCAAGTAGAATTCAAAATACACCACACTTTCACATTGAGTTAGATATTTTTCTCAAACAACCGCTTCCATATGTTTAACACCCTTCCCACATTCCCTCCGAGAGATACTTCAACTGTAATACTTCGATTTCAAATTTCTCACCTTACCCAGGTAAGGTATATTTTCTCGTCCTAGACATCGATCTCGGAAGGGCCAAAACCAGTTTAGTGCCCAGCCGTCTGCCGTGCTGAGGCAGGCAGATGTTGAATTATGGACAG